TTTATTACAAACTGTCATCACTTCTGGTACAGCTCAGGCCAGAGCCATAAGTTTCCTTTTTCATTCCACCTTGATATGTCATCCCCCAAATCGAATGATATGTCCCTCCGTTTTGTTTGAATTCCTCGATGGAATAAATCATGAAGGTAATTTCAAAAGTAAACTGCCAAGTCAATACAAACTGAATAAAAATTTTCTATTCTTTCTAGCCCATGGCACATAAACAAAGAACTCATGTAAAAATTCAGTCTTGCGGTGTAAAAAACGGAGAAAGATTTAACGATATTTTCCAGTGAATAGACTTTAGGAGTGAGAGCGTCGTTTCCCGGAGGTATTCGTTGGACGCGTCATCCGGATTATCGCAGACCGAATAATAAACGAACCGCGAAAATATGTTTAAATTTCCCCCTCCATAGCACTTCTGTTCGTCTCCGTAGCCTTTTAAAAAGTTGCTCATCTTTTTTTCAACTACCCCAAGGGAGTCTCAATTTTCCATCATTTCCCTTCAATATATTCTCGTCCGTCCCTCTTTTTTATGTATATACATTTTCATCTTATATATACAACGTTACGTTCTCTCTCTATTTCGTCATTGAAGCCGCCAAACGTGTCCACCACACAAAAGGCCAAATGATGGTGAAGGTGAGTCAACCTAGGTGATATACTCCTCTGGGACTGTAACGATGGTGGCAAGTTAGATGAACACGAGGATGTTGGATACACTGTCGACCCAGGTCAACTGGATTATCGTCGACCCCCTCGTGACTTCTCACATCCTCAACCAAGATGTCCACGAGTTGAGTCAACCACCTTTGGTATAACTTCACACATAGAATCTATACTCATCGCAATAATCGAATAATCAATTACTGAGGCCATATCAAAATGTATATTTCCACACGATATATTTTTCCCACTGGACTGTCGGCTACCGAGAGAAATCATCTGAAAAAGAGGAAAGAGTACAAAAAAATCATGATCACTGAATCTTGAACTGTATGTTTCCACTAACTGACATTTCTCCACCAAGTTAATCACCCGTATCGACCTTGAATCCCTGAATTGGCGCATTCCCAGTTTATACTCGTCAAACGTTTCGCCGCTGGAACATAAACACAGTAGAATAAGACAAGTCCGGCCAGGCATGCGGGGTGAAGAGGAACGAGCTGAAACACAAACTGAGGAGCAAAAAGAGTTACATATCCCACTGAGAAATAAAGAAGAGAACGATCGATGGCATGACCGACATTTTTGATACAATAAGAATGAAATCCCACTGTTTGCCCACTCTCGATACCACTATGCATGATACATTTTGAGTGAGGGAAATAAAGTGAAGTCCGTAACGAACGACATGCGTGCACAGCTTCGAGAAGGGAAAGAAGGATTTTCTGTATAGATGCAGCACAGAGCGCTCGTTAACCACTGCAGTTGTGCGATTCAACGAAGATATCGTACTGGCCTTAAATCAAGTCTCACTGCCTATATCTGTCTCCCTCGAGGTGCTGCCACTCCGATATACCCATCCTGCATTCTCTTTTCACTTTTCTTTTTTGTACCCCCGATTTCTCCTCCTCCCGCTGCTTACCGCCCTTCTAACTTGACTGACTCTTCTCGTTGTCTCTGTATCGGTGCGTACACACTGCACTGCAAAATGCTGAATCGTCGTACGTACCTTCTGGCTTTCCACCGTCTCTCCTTCTCTCTTCCTGCACGAAAACAAAAGAATCGTTGACATTTTGCGAGATGTATTCGGGAGAGAGAAGGAGAGCAGGAGAGGGCAGGGGCATTCAAACGAGCCATCTCCGTATCGCGGCACTGTGACAAAAGTTGACGACGCAACACAACCGATACGACGTCAGTCCCAAGAAACTTGATGAAAAAGAAAAAAAAAAGGATGAGAATAAGGGTAGGGAAGAGATGAGGAAAAAAATCTACAAGGCGTTCTCAGCTCAACTCTTTCGAACATGAAATCGCTTGCGTGCCACAGATTCGGAGTGAGTTGGGGCAGGTGAATTTTCGTGAAAAATTAAAGCATTAGAGGGCAACGGAAAAAGGGGCATTTGTTGGGGTAAGGGCAGACAAAGTGCTCTAGGAGAGGATATGGAAGATACCGGGAATGGCGATGATGAGGTGTGGGGGAGTGAGGTGGGAGGTGCACGCGCAAAATTACCGAGGCATCTGCAGGCTTAGGAGACTGCTGCATGTCTATATGTGAGCTGTGTACACGGCATGCAGAGACAGTGGTATATATGCACCAGAGGAAGGAGAAAGGGGAAGGCCCACCTACTCCGTAGAGATGCGATTAGCATATGCATGAGAGCACCCCTATGTGCGTTGAAGGCAGGGACCAATGTCGACCGAGCAGTGACCGGAGGTGCACTGAGCAAACCGAGTGCATGTCACTGTCAAACGTTTTAATGTATCCTATCTGCACTCCACTGTCTATGTATTAATTGAAGGGAAAATGGAGAATGCTAATGACGACGAATTTGACACGTTGAAGAGATATTTCATGGGAAAAAAATATATTTTAATCCAGTATATTTCAGTTAGTGTAGATGTAGATGATCTCGTTCGATGAAAAATCGTTTTCCATCAGATTTTTCAAGGAATTATTCATAGAGATACTCTCCGCGATTTAATTTTACAGCATATGTATGCTATCTTATTGAAATTGGACTTATAAGGAACTCCATTTTATTAATAATTTTCATCATCCCCATTATTCGACCACCTTTTTAACACTTTCCACGATTTCACAATCCACAATTCAAATTTATTCAATTCCCGGACAATGACCTGTGTCATTTTAAGATTAATAATCGTTTTTAAATTCGACTTTTCACGAAAATAACAGGCATGTGAGAATCAAATTGAACTGCGAGAAAAAGCATTTGCATGAAAGGTGTGAATTTTCCATTAAATCTCGGGAATTTGGGTAGTGTGATAGACTTGGCAAAGATCTACTGTTGCGCAGGTGCTATAACATTACATGAATATACATATAAAATCGAACTTCTCATTCCATCGCTGACGTACACGAGCAATTGACAGTGCTCGATTGACGCTCAAATCGAAGAAACAACGAGAGAAGAAAAAAGGAGAAAGCGCAAACTCTGTTCTCCACCTCCATTTCCCTGCCACATGGACAGGAAGCTGGTGGAAGTACCAATAGTAAAATTGTCGAGTGGAAAAGAGACCTTGAGCGTTTGCCAGTGATTCGAATTTCTCCGTAATTTGAAAGGGGAGCAGAAAGGTATACGAAGATAGGAGTCGAAGACATTCTGTCTCCCTGTGGCTGACACCGTCTAAGCGTCAGGTTGCTTTGGTATTGATTAAACGAGATTAGAGAACCTATAGATTTCCCCAGTCTACCGAGCATGTACCTCTACTATACATTTTGCTGGCCCCCCTTCGCCCCCTCGCCAATTCTATTTGAGACGAATAAATTCAGTAACCGAGGGATTAATCTGTGCCTCGACTGCCGTACTGATTGCTAAACGAGAATTCCTTAAGTCTCATTGCGACAATAATTATATTAATGCCAGTGAAAGAATTTCAAGATGCAAGAACAAAATTGCGAGTACAAAACGATTATTAGTACAGCTCGGCTTAAATACTGTATATCTTGTACATAATCGTGTACATACACTTATAAAGGTTAATAAACTATTTCGAAAGGCTTTCCTTGGTTCCATGCTTCCATGCTTCCATAGAATTATCAATTGCTGCACTAAAAATACATTTGTTCTTGATTAAAAGAAATTTTAACGCGACTTTCCACTTCAAACCTCAGTCAACCCATGAATTCGTAAGAGAAAAAGTGCCAATTTTTCCAACACCAATTCCCTACTTATGAAATGAATAAACAAAATATAATAAACCCTCGCAAGACTGTTGTAAAAATTTAACAATGATATGCATGAAATAGTTAATAACCTCAAGTTGTTTTTATCTGGTGTACAAAGTTGGTGGGTAAGGGGAGTTCAGTGGATGATATTTGGTTGCAGGATGTTGCACAAGAGTTGAGAATGGAAAACACGAAGAGGAGAGGGGGTAATGTCTTTTTAAACACGCTAAACCGTGAGGATACCGCGCGTTCAGGGTGAAATAGACGTTGGGAGGTTGAGGGTGGAGGATTATAGTTGGTGCACAGGTCCCAAAGTCTCGACACTGGCTGGTAAGGTAACTCGTGAGTACTGTGGGGAGGTAGGAGGACTATGTAAATTTTATGGGCTAAATAGAGCGGACCAAGGAAATAATTATCCCGAGTTACCCTATATATTCGGCGACCTCCACTCATTGCCATCATGAAGGGAGCAACGGGTACCAGCGTACACAACGCACACCTCCACCTTCCCACTTCCTCAATCTTTTCCCTTTATGCCTGTCTTTCCCTACGAAAATTCAAACCACTCATACCTGCTCTTATGTATACACTCATGTATTTTGCCACAAACCGCACACCACCTGGCTTTCCCTTTCTAAACCCTCTTATTCTAGCCCTCCACTTCAAACCTCGTGGTTAGTGCGAGGGAGTAGAAAGCCCAGAGGCAAAACGTACCGTTTTCACCGTCCCTTTTTTCTCATCGTCTACAGTTTAAATATAACTCTCAACGAATGGCAGAACTCTGGTGTGGGTCATAGAGGGATGAAAAGCACAGCGATAAGCCACAAAGCGCACACTGGGAATTAAAAAGATTAGTCTCGACAATTCTAATTTCACCGTCGTCACTTTCTACAATTATCGTTAACCTCCACTCAGGATTATTCCGCAACTGCACACTTCTCCCTGAGGTGGACAGTGGCCAGTGAAACTTTGATATCCATTTGATGATTGTATATAGACGATCCTTCAACCTGCTAAAATAATGTTCAGTAAACCGTAGCTATAGCCTCTCTGCAACTTCGCTTTCAATTATCAGTGTGAGGTTCTTTCGGTGAGAAAAGACAGGTTCATTATGTGATTACTGCGTGATTAATTATCATTGTAACGTCATACTTTAATTACATACAATTAAGTAATTTTTAGTTGCTGGATCTGTAGAGAATTTCATTGAATATGTCATGTCTCTGGGAGGTGGAGAGTCGTTTTGGATGACAGCTGAAATGAAAAACCATATAAGTCTTGATGAGTTTATATATATTTTATATATAAACTCACTTATAATTTCTCGCCGGAATTTTCCATATTGAACGTGCCTTCCTCTATCTTTGAATTGTGTCACGAGTGGGAGCATATGATGAGTAATGAGGCGTGGTACTGGATGATGAGAATAACGGCGATAATCACTCGAAGTGTGCTGAATGTCAATATGAATGTGTACATCCAGAGAAAGAGGTTGTAACGAATAGGGTCACTCCTGAAGAAGGTTAGGTACCAATTAATGTCACGACCCATCACCGGATAACCTTTAAAATTCTTCTGGAGAGCCACCAACACCTAGTGAAACGACGTGGGTTTGCAAATTCAATTGTTATTTCAATTGTTTCAGTGCGATCGTCATTCATTCTACCTCTTCCCTCTCACTGGCCTCTGTCCATTCGTTCCTTATTTTTTCCTCATCATCATCATCATCAGCATCATCATCGGGGTAATATTTTTGTACATATAACTCCTGAGATGGCATTTCTGGCATGTATTATGAAAATCAAACGATCCAGAGGGGCTGCAACAAGCTAACGGTTCATGAAGGAGCGGAACGAAACAAGTTTGACAGTGGAATTTATTAAAAAACTGCAAGGTCCTGCAGGGCAAAGTCACTCCTTCCCTTTCGACCCCTTCAAAGTGCAACTCATTCATTAATTTCGACAGTTAAAGTTGTCGGCACAAGTTGTCTGAGCGCATGAAAAAAAAGCAAAACTTTTATTTTATTTTCCACCTCCGTACTTCGCTTTTCCTTAATTTTTTCTTCCTCTCCTTTTTTTTCAAGTTATTCCCTCAACTCCCTGGAAGTCCACAAGAAATAACCCATGTATCGTTGCATCAAGCCGAAATGACTTTTTTTATGTGTGACTATAAAGATTTGAATCAAAGAAACAACGAAAAAGGAGAGGAGAAATGGGAGAGAATAAAACAGGAATAAAGGGGAAAGAAAAAATATTTCGACATTGAGTCAGAGGCTCGGATGATAAAACTAGAATGGCAAACTGACAATGAATTTAATTTACCCGGGAAATACGACTAGCCGACATTTACCTTGCGGATAATTATCATTCAATCGCCCTTGCTCCCTTTCTTCTCTCATGTGCAAGACCATCCCCCTGGGAATCTCTAATTGTATTCAACACTGGCAAAATACTCCACTCTGCAATTTTGATTGTCGTCAATAACCGAGTGAGTTGCAATTCGCCCTTCACAGTGTGTAAGAAAGAGTGAGAGAAATTCTCGGGAATTGGAGATAGGTGGATAGTTGTAGAGTGTGAAACGGCTTTTCCCTCGTTCCAATTTGTTCCGAGTTGACAGTGTTTATTGCAGCGATAACTTATCGAGCTGTTAACCGATAAATATATCTCAGAAAAAGTGATTGAAGATTGTGACTGCTGAGTGTCTGCATAACTCCTGCTCCGGATTAAACGACCGCCCAGAATTTCCCCTTATTGGACTAATAAACAACAGCAACAGCAAAAATTATTATATCTGTAAACAATTGAAACAAGAATAAATGAAAGAAAAATAGATAATGGGCCGATATTTGTGATGAATAATTTTTAAACAGTTTAGAGTGATAAAAAAATTGGATTTAGCGTGAGACACGTATACCACTCACCAACAGTGAGAGATAAGAAGGGAATGGTGATAAGAAGACAATGCGGGAAAAGCTTGAGTAGGAACAAATGAGAAAATTGTGGGGCGGACGCGACGAGGAAGTCTTTCTGCCCCTCTGCCAAGTATATATAATTGTATGTATTCGAAGTATATGTATTGGTGTGGGCGCCCTAGCTGGGTTGTTCCTCATTTGACGGCTCATTTGAGTTGCCGCGAAAAGCTGCTCTAACGACCAGACGACGATGAAGTGCCCCTTGGTGAAGTCCCCGGTTGGAAAAAGAAAGACTCTCACGTACAGATGTCAGGCCTCACCAATGGCCTCAAACCCAGTGGAAGCACACGTCCTATTATATATATGGCCACTTGTAAGAAATGCGATCCAGGATAAAGTAATGAAGTAAAAAACACTGGAATGAGGAGAAGTGAGTGAGTAAATCGTTATTGTGAATAGAACAATTGGGAGTAGTGAGGGAAAAAAAGTGGAATTTATCTATCACCGGAGTTGTGGGTGGAAGGGGATACATTTGCGGGAATAGATCGAGTCAATTTTCCCTCAGTTTTCAATGGGTACGATATTTTATCCCAAGTACAGCTTGGTCTCAGTGACTCTCTGGAACTGAGGGAAACTAATCGTGAAAATCAATGAAAAACGACGGATTGGGCCTTTCCCCGCACACCCATTTTCTACTTTACTACTCGAGCATTATTCGGGCACTGGCTGGACTTCTGGCTGGTCGATGACAGTAATCGGGAAAATAGTCGGACAATTAGCGAAATTACGAGGCAGAGACGAGCGATTAACTAATCTCAGTGGCAGTAACTGCGGTGGTCTTGCATATGGATGGAAGAGCGAGTGAACAACACTAAAGGGGAGATGCCGCGTGGAACATGTAGTGGAACGCGGAAATGGCGCTTCATCAGCTAATGGTATTCGGGTCAGTATGAATGTCGGTTCTTGGATTAGAAGTGTTGCTAACGAGGCAACGTCTTGGCATGGCACAAGTGCACCCAACGTCTACCACACGGCATTTCCTCTATGGACTCCTTACCATTTAGCTGACTACCGCTTAATCTCCTTGTGTGAGGGGAGGCCAAGGCAACCCCAACATTCTATGGCCAGAACACTCTTGTAATTTACATTTTTAACCTCTTCGGCATTGCCAAGTGGCTATTCGGATATCGTGCTCATACTACATGAAGAATCTCAAACTAGACACTCTTGGGGTGTTTTACATTTTAAATCCACCCACAATGCCTCAAATTATCGGATAATAATTGTCATAAATATTTGCATTTTTACAAAAAATATTGAAGGGCATTGACCTCCTTTGTCTACCGATTTCTTCACTCACCGTTTGGTTTCCACATAAAATGAGTTTCATTGACCAAATGTGTGAGTAAATTAGACTTTTGTTAGCAAGAAAAAATAAATAGCTTCGCTCAAGTTAATTTATTTAGCCGGGGGAATTTTATTATCTCAGTATCCGGTTTTATTACTTTCAGAAACTTTTTTTTTACGTGAAAAAATGTTTTCGATCGGTATTTGAGATAAAAATGGAAAAATCATTTAATTGATATTTCTGTGAATTAGTGAGTTTTTCGGTGCCAGTATCGTTAAATTAAAGTTAGCATCCTCAGCGAACCACTCGAGGGGTTATTTTTTTACAATTTAATTCACTCGCAAAGAATCAAAGATTATCTTGAACACGACAATCGTCGTCATGCTCGAGACACAGGGTTAATCTCTCCCAAGTACTTCTGTGCATTACAACGAAGGGGGTTGTTCTTAGCGGCCAAGCAAAAGACGTTATCGCGATCGTATACACAGCAAAATGGTGGCGGGGGAGAATCAAATATAAAGGGAATGAAAAATAAAAAGTAAAAACAGAGAGAAAAAAAAAGGAAATGTCAGGTCTCTTGGCATTGCAACTGCCTCCAATTTGATACCGGATTGCGCGAATGAGTCGAGTCCTTTCTCGTTTATTCGATAGTCTAATTAGTCAACTTAAAACTCACTTAATTAACCGAAAAGATACAGTATCTAATTGCATGTACGTGTAGGTAGCTTTGCCTTCATTACTGAAGTGCTATTTCGATTCAATCGCCTTTGTCCCCATCCCCAACCCCTCCCTTTTCCATACGCAGTATGAAAAATATCTTTCCGTTAAAATTTTATTTGTAATTTTATGCGTAAGATAGAAATCGTGTAACTATAATCACTTATAGTGCAATCGAACCAAAAATGGCATACTTACTATAATTAATGCTGAAAAAACCCAACTATTTTAGCCGATACCGGGGATCGAACTAGGGATCTTACGAGTACTAATCCTAAACCCTAATCACTAGACTATCGCGTTACTAATATTGAGTGAAGTGTTTGGCTTATACGACAATAATAATAAGTTAATAATTAAAATATTTATTTCTAGCTTACCTGATCAGAATCTGATTCGAATCAGGTTGATTAAATCAAAGACTGATCAGTTTCTTATCAAGTTCTGCCTGATGAGTTGACACTGGCCACCGTCATTCCAAGTTGAAGTGGGTGAAGAGAAGGGAACTGTGAAGAGACCGACGTTATGAACGTGCTTGGAGCCATAACCGGGTTCAACGAATCTTTTAAGTAAAAAGCATCAGGCTCCCTTTCCCTGTGACACGTCAGACTGAAGGGGAGTGGTTATACAGGGCCTCGTGCGCATCACCAAAGGACTCAAGACACCGTGAACTACCGTGAAGTACGGTTGGCAAGATACGAAAACGATTTTGCTTCTGGGCCGATGGCACCTACCAACAATTTTCTCTATGACACTGGATGCTAAACTTGAATTCACCCAGAAGGCAACAGCTTACCTCCACCATTAACACTGCACAACCATTTTCTACATACATAGTAAATGAGGAATGCCTGGGAAATAAGAAAATTTCCAATCTAACCGGTATTCATTGGTGATAAATATTCATGAATTCATTTTTACCCTGTCCCGAGGTGCTAACATCTATTAATCCGTAATATTAATCAAAATTAATTCGTGCCTTGGACGATGCGATGGTGGTGTAAGCCGTTTGAAATTAATGTGTCATGGGAGGTGAAACCGCGCTAGCCACCATTCCGGAATAGCCGGAGGGATGAAGTCCTCCAAGTCTTACAACCATCGGCCAAGAGCTATACGTGACCTCCACAACGTGTCCAATAATGCCACTCCATAACTTAGATGTATTCATGGCCCAATCATACTTTAATATTCCCAAACTCTTCTCCACATAGTTCCGGCATTTTGTCGTATTCCATATCCATATCCATATCCATAAATGGGCAATTATCAAAAAGGAAAATCCGTAACAAAAAGTGACCCTAGAAGATTAATTCATAATTCAATTCTCTCTCATATTTGGTAACCCTTTTCACCTTGACATTTTTTATTTTTACCAAAAACAAATTTCACCATTTCATTATAAAATTGTGATGAATCTGTAGGCCCAGACGACGGACGCGAGACGCGACAAAATATCGAAATATTTGATCGATAAATTATACCCGCATGGTTCATCTAACCTGATAAATGGAGAAATATGTAGAGCGTTACGTGCATGAATCATGGACTACATCAATAGGTTTGAACGCGCATTATTCATACTACTTCGATGGGCACACCCTTCCATTATTCTATATCTTTTTTCCTCGAATAAAATTCTTAATGTCTCATTATAAATTGATGAGATCGCCCAGTGCAGATCGATTGAGTTATCATCGAGTTGGAAAAAAAAGGGAAAAGGTGACTGCCCTGAATTCCCGGAACGTGTGTGCGGTCGAGGAATACTCCCTCATTACTCCCCTTTCATATATTTTTAACTTTACGTCTTCCCCTTCTTCACCCACCGCCGTCTCCCTCCACCCTTCACCTCTCTTTTTTATCTCGCGCCAAAACAGTAATTACCCAAAATTAAGGCTGAAAACGTTTGGCCACGAAGATGAAGGAAGCGAAGTGGCTTCTTGCCTTCAAGTGCCTCTTGCCCATGTACATCTGACACCTGGGTGGTTCGCAAACTCCAAGCACGCACATACACAGTTGTACATACCTCAGTTACCGCACGGGAGAAACGATTTCACGATGGTCGCATAAATGCTAAACAATTTACATTCACATGCAGATGGTGAGGAGCCGTCTTCAAGGAATATATGAATGCCAAGATATTTTAAATGAAAAAATTGCTAGGAGCTGAATCACCAGGTTAGCACACACCACGACAATAATATTGACGGTTTAATAATAGAGCAGACCAAGTACCAAAAAAATTAATTGCAAGAGACTATTATATCTCGGGCTATTGAGGAAGTTTTCTCATTCGTTCAAGTGAAATGGAAAATTTTTATCGCTTGATATATTTTCCAGACGATACAATTGAAACAGTAAAACATGTCACAAGCTGTGAAATGGTAATGAGTAGGCTGAAATAAACATATAGAGAATGGTGGAAAGAATGGAGAGGCGAGCGGGACGAATTAGAAAGAAGACGAAAGAGACGTGAATGTTCCGTAATTTTTACTGAATACTGTTTTAACTGGTAGATTACGGAACAGGCCTCTAATTTTTTTTTAATTTTCCTTTCCCTTTCTGTCCTGGTTTGGCTAATTATCCCTATCTCACCCTATGCATGCAGCTGTGGATCCTACCCTGTACCGTATTCACTCTCCTCTAGAACGTAGGAATAACATGGGAAACCACAGAAAAAACCATGTCGGTACAGGCGGTTGCTCTATTAGCAACCTCCCGCACATCAGTGCCTGTTGAAAAAATTCGATTCAACGGAGAATCGAACTCACAACTTTCAGAATGCCGGTTTTTCCCAAAATTGCCGTCGAATAATTTATTGTCAGCGAGGATGTGGAGCACTAAATAAATTCCTTTCTGTAATGGAAAAATGTGTAACGCCTGATGACGAGTACGCTTGACATTCCCCCCGTCACGTCTCCTTTCTTACCCCTACATGTCTTTTTATATTTTTTTAACATTGATGTCCTCGCATTCGCGCTTGCTCGTAAACACGCGGGACATTTAATTTGCGCGGTACGACCAAGCGGTTACCCGGTCTACCCAATGGTGAGAAGGAAAGATTATTCCTTCTCTCTTCCGTCGAAACGACGAAAGAAGAAAACTCCATCTTTCTTCTACTTCGTGAATGCTCGTAAAGGTGAGCAACGTCCGTAGGTGTATGTACTCGGTTACATCTCTTTTTATTTTCATCCATAGTTTTTTTCCTTTCTTTTTTTTTCCCCGCTTTTATTCAGCAGTGAGACCGCAAAATAGCCAAGCGAGTGGTGCACCCGTGAGATAACCGCAGCACTGAGAAATATCGTTAAAGTCATGCAGGCACCAAAATTGCTTTGCAGATTATATTTCAAGCGCAAGCACTCTTCTATTCGTCACGTCGTTTGAAGGAATAATTCATCACTGTGGACATTCACGTTGGTGGGAGATTTACAGTGTTACAAATTCGATGGAACCTCAATGTTTGTCATTAATAAACCACTAAAACCCTTCGTTATAAAACTTCAGACTGAACTAAAATGATTAATCAATTTTAAATAATTAATTTAATCGACGTTACATAATGAACTAATTAAATACTCCCAAATATTGGCTTTTAATCTAAAAATTCGGCTTTAATTATATGAATACAAGTGTTAGATAGTCTAAAATGGTCAGCAATTATTGAATACTTTCTGGGAAAATGTACGAATTGAATGGTCTGCCAATAATGAATGGAAAATCAATAGAACAAGTGGAGCTACAATTGCAGGTCTAATCGTTTCTGCAGACTTCCCGTATTTTTTTGTCTCTGGATCTATGAGAGTGTTTTTTTTTTCACTGCATGCCACCGCCACGTGACAAGCGAAATATTAGATCATCTCGCGGATAACAAAAAAGAAACCTATAGTACGTAAATTTATTCTCTACCGTAATGGAATTAGCGCTGGAGCCGCGCGTTTTACACGCGATATTTCGATTATACGACTCGATGCAACGAGCGTCCACTCACAGTGAGTTTACATGGGAATATGACAGAATACCGGGGTTATGTCGATATCCCTTTTAAAAAAAAGCATGTAACGTTTTTTGTCTGCTTTTTTCGACGCATAGCTAAGCTACCCATATCAAAATATATGTATGTATTTATTCGTATATGTTTTTTTTATGTATCATAATGTATCTGTAGGAGAGTGATTTTTTTCAATTCTTTTTAATCTTCAATGGTAAAATTCCCGAGAAAACTTGAGAGTTCAGAGTAGGCCACCTTTAACAGTAGGAAAAAAATAGGTTTAATTTTTCCTCTGAGTGGCAAGTGGATTTTTCTCGATTCACTTTCTGTTGGCAGTGGTAGTAATACTTGATAGAGTCGACGGACAAAGAGAGAATAAATGAAAATACCAGCGATAATACTTGTACATGAAAAAAATTTTTCTTGTAATATCTGAGGAATGTTCCAATAATGCAGCTAGGGGCAGATAGGGGCAGTCTTAAATTCTTAAAAATTGTTGAACCAGAAATGTATTGTTTTAAAATTTCGAGCATCGATTCCACGTTGAATTTTATATACCTTTCATTCCATGATTTTATTGAAGACTACAATTCGTGTTAACTGCATTGTACCCACGATTCCAATCAATGCATGTGAAATTAAAAATTCTATTCCCTTATAAAAATCCAGAGAAGTATGATTTTTATTGAGGAGAGAATAGCAAAGTGATTGAATAGAGAATGCTGGTGTGGACCCATGTGAGCCTGTCATGTATTCACAGAGTAAAATTTCATTTGTCGAATCCATAATATGAAGGGTAGGAATAAAAAAATTTAAAAGCTGAGAGTGATTTTGACAATTCAGAATTTACCTCACGGGTCATTTTGACTACACATGGAGGCTATCAAAAACATTGACGTCAGTATAATTAATTAATCCAGGCATGTCATGGTGAAATTACGAAACACAAATGCCGACCATGTTCAAATGGATAGGGAAATATTCACTCTTATAATTTGCCTATTCCCAATTATACCACCAAATCAATCGGAAAATTACATTTCAACACAAATTAATATAATTTCAATAGCTTGGAATATCCTCTAGCTATATAACGATGTGGTAAACGCGAATAACACCTCATCATTATCTGATAATGAATCCAAATTATTCACTTAAATGTTACAATGTTTCAATTATTCTATATTTTCCCGAATTTCTATGAATTAATGATCAATTTATATAATTCCGATAAGATCCCGTAAATAAAAATCATTTATTCATTTATTCCCGCTGAACCTATTGTCATGAATTTCTTATGGCCAGCAATGATGTTGATTGTAAGTTTTTCGTAAAAACAAGAATAATCGGATTGCTGAGAGTTTTTAAACATCCTGAAATTCCGCATTGAAACGCTTTAATGAAGGTAACTAGTGTACCAACAGTCCGTACTGCTCGTCAAATTCACAGCGAGAGCAGCTTTACCGGTTTCTCGCAAAAGCTTTTGAGAGCAAAATAATGGCATTTGCAACAAGAAGTTTGAGAATTTTTTGTAAATTATACAATGGCAGTGGAAAAGTCACTTACTCAACGCTACGTAAACCAATTATCCAAGTGAATTTAATTCGTGCAGCTCAAAAATACAACTATTCGAGCCAAAGTAAATGATATAGTCAGCCCATAACCTCTAGCACGTGTCTAATACGTAAGTAAAATTTGTGATATTTTCATTAATATCCTTACTTGGCGTTTAACAGCTGATGCACCCAAAATCACTGGAAGCTTAACAAATATCCAGTCCTCAACTTCGCCCACATTGTCCCAAGGCTGCCCAAACAAAAATGATCAGAAGGATGATAACACTAGTGCTGAGGATGAAGAGGCACAGAAGCAAAGGGAGCAATCCTGGAAGATGATGAAGTGGAGTTTCATATTGTTTGGTGTATCAATGTCGATGGCTGGTGGTGTTATTATCTATGAGTTAGCCAGGCCGAGTTACGACGAGAACGGAAACATCGTCGAGGATGAATTCTCGGGCTTACCGTTCCCTCAGAGGGTCTGGAAAAGATTATGCAGAGAAGTCAACTACTACACAAAAGTAAATCAGTTAATTCAGCAGGGAAAAAGTAAAAGATTGCAAATCGATTGAGCTAATGGAAAATACTTCGAGGATAGTCGAATTTTTTAAATATCTTTTTATTTTGATAGAACTCCTCGCCCCTTAGAAAATAACAAGCTTGGCAAATACTGATTATGGAACTCTTTCAGCTTGTTCAAGAACCCAGTAGAGACAAGTTACTACCAGATCCACTGAAGTATCCATACATTCAACCACCTTATACTCTAATTTTGGAAATGACAGATGTTTTGGTTCATCCTGATTGGACAGTGAGTATTTCTATGTCAATCCGAAAAACCCTGAGGATCAATATGCTGAATTGATTTTACAATTTACTTATTATTCAGTATCAAACTGGATGGAGATTCAAGAAACGTCCAGGTGTAGATCATTTCTTAGAAGCTCTAGCTTCACCTCATTTCGAAATTGTAGTCTACACAGCAGAACAAGGAATGGTAAATAAACGAAAGCAATTCGAACATATAAACAGATTTGGCGTATGTAATATATATTAGGTCTACTTAACTCAACTTCAATTATCCCACAGACTGTTTTTCCAATCTTGGATTCACTTGATCCCCAAGGCTGTATAACGTACAGGCTATTTCGTGATGCCACACGATTCATTGACGGTCACCATGTAAAAGACCTAGACGCTCTCAATCGTGATCTCAGTAAAGTAATCGTCATAGACTGGAATTCCAACAGTATAAAACTGCACCCGGAGAATGCTTTGAAAATTCCTAGATGGACAGGTAACGATGACGACACAACTCTCTATGACTTGGCAGCCTTCTTGAAAACAATCCTCGCCACCAACGTCCAGGACGTCCGAGAGGTGCTGAACTACTACAGACAATTCGAGGATCCCCTCGCTGCGTTCAGAGAAAACCAGCGCAAATTATTGCAACAAATACAGGAGGATGAGACTCACAAAGCCCAAATGGAAAGCACAAGAGCCTTAACGTCACGATGGTCTCCCTCGTTTTTACGTTCTCATTAGGTACTACTTTCGATGAATTATTTAATACCAGAATTGCATTGTGGTAAATTCAATTTGTGTTTACAAAATCGAACCTGAAAATTTTTATTAAAAATCAATTGAGGATTGAGGATGTTTCCTTTTTTATTTACACAATTTCAATTAATGTAAATTTCTCATGGGTATTAATTTACTGAAGCGAAAAATGTACCGAACTTCTCTCACGAACTCAATGAAAATACTAATATCAAGTCGTAGCAAATAATACAGATATTAAAATCCTACAGTAAAATTGTTTTTCCTCTTGTTCTCTTTTTGTTTTGTGACATTCGCTGTCTGTTTCGGCCTATTCAAAGTTCCATAATCGTCATCTATAAGTAAATCCTCATCGAACTCTAACGTCTCAGCCTGTACTTCAGGATTTTCAAAATGATTTGAAGGCTCTTGTTGCTGTGAAACACTAATGAGCTCTTGACTGAACACTGGAGTCAGTACACAGTCATCATCCTGATCCCTTAAAGTTCCTTGGCTCAGTGAAATTTCTGGAGATTTGTCTTCCGAGTTTTGGAGCCAAGTAAATACTTTCTCATTCGCACTTGTTTGTGGTACTTGGTCTTTATGTCCAGTCACTTCCCAAACCTCTAGCAACGCAGGCGCAAGTCGATCAGTGTACTGACTCAATCGCTTTATCGAGTGTTTCCAACGAGGCGGTGGTTCTTTCTCTTCCTCACTCTTTTTTTTCTTCTTTCTCTTCTGCGCCTCTTCTCGCCATTTCCCGGAAGATGACTTTTCTCTATCCCTCCATACCTTCCTCACGGGCTCCTGGTACTTCAAATCTTTATTAGTAAATGCCTCAAATACCTTTCCCATATTCGATTGATCAGAAATAACCACAGGTGCTACAAAATTCTGCTCCAACATCCTTTTCTCCCAAACTTCCAACGCATAATAGGCATTGGTATTGACATAAGAATTCTTATCCAACACCTCCTCGTAATTGAGGCCTTGATAGAAAATATCACCAATGGAATTTTGTGTAAAAAGGTAAATATTTTGTGACTCGTCCTGAATAAGTTGAGAGCCAGCAGTGGAGAGTTTCAGTCTCGTCCTCATCAGTGGATTCAAACATTTTCCTAAAAGATGGGACTCTCTCAAAGTATCCAGGATACTTGCCGGGGCGTAGGGTAAATGGAAGCTGTGAGGCTCGTCCGAATCTTCCCAGGTGTTGAGTATTATTTTAACATCGCCAGAAATTTGACTTGCTAACGTGATGATCTCTCTGCCTTCGTGCGAGAGCAAGTTCCCTGTTACAGGTGCACTTTGAAGCTGATGGCTCCATTTTTGTCGAACAACATCACCCCGTCTGCTATCAAGCATTAACAAACTCTGGGAAGTACCTACGTAATGACAGGCTTCATTGTTACTCGATATTTCGAGGGATACCCACTCATGATCGTTTATATAGGGCTTTGGATATATTGTGAGTACAGGCGTATTCATCGATCGCCTCACATCTAAGTAATGGATACAACATCTATCAGCGAGAGTAATAATATGAGGCTTCCATTGTTGAAATTTTATACTTCTCCACCTATCCTCCATCGTGGATTTTGGTAATTCAGCCTTTAGCCTTTGTACCCCTGTTTCTACATCCCGCAGAGCTATTTTCCGCATGATATTAACAGTGCAAAAATCTTGCGGATTGAAGGGATTAGTATCTGCAGATATAATTGGAACTGATGATGAACACTTTTGTTTACTCATCACCCTCAACTTGTTGCCTTTGTCAACGACTGAGAAGAATTCACAAGAGTGTTTCGACCTCGTCATCAGCTGATATCCACAGTCGAAAGCCGTTTGTTTCAACTCGAACACCTGATCCTTGAGCTCACATTTTGCTGCCCTCTTCAAATTCGGTTTCCATATTGAATTCTCACGATAAATCAGAGGTGCAACTACCAATTCCTCCATGTACGGAAACACCAGAACATTTTCGCCGTTCATCCTAAAGTTGCCTAAAGAGCCCCCATTGAAATAGTAGTTATATTTTCCAGTGAACTCAGGGTCCGGATCCATGTCCATTAATTCTGATAGATCTGCCACGAATTTCGGTAGAGCTGTTGTAGTTATAAATCCCTCGGTCTTAGACTTTATATTTTCCACGGTCAAATCAAAATTTTTTAATTTATGCGTAAAATATTGTGTCATTCGCTCCACATCCTCAGCGATGTAGCTCTTCTTCAGGAGAATATCCAGACCTGGATCACCTTTACAGAGAACACCCCTTGGCAATCTTACTGGAGGTAAAAGTGGCTTCGGATAATCACAATTCCACGGAAATGGCTGATACAGATTTCTCGCATTTTCTACATTCCATTCTTCAATCCACGGACTTTTATTTAAATTCAATCCTGGTACATCGTATGAAAACACTCCAGACCATCTGTCATAGCTCCAATGTTTTCCTTGCAAGTAAATCAAAGCACGATCCTGATTTTGTAAACGCTCGTTGGTATTAACATCTTTCTTTCTCGCCATAACTTTTTATTGTTTTAATCGATTCAATCAATACAGAATCCCGCCTTAAAAGCCGGTGTTAATAATCATTATCACAGATTTACGTTCACCGTTCGCGTTGTTTTAAAACAGACAACCAACACAACCCACGTGTTTTGAGGTTGGGTTCCTTCAGCCAATCTGAAAACCGCTCACGTTTTCTGGTTCTGCCCTAAATACTCCAAGAACTGGACCCTTCTGCTTTACAAGGCCCTTGATAAACTAAAAATTCCCTCTTTTATATCCATCAGCTGATCAACAAATTAAATATCATAATTGCCTACGCTCTGAAAACTCCAGCCACAAACCGATCACATTCCCAATTCAAATATCTCCCTCCACCAATGAACCACAGGAGAATAGCCCCATTTTACCATCTCTGTCCCATCCACATGCAACGTTCCTTCAAGCTGGAATAAAGCAATACTTGAAGTGAGTGCCAAAAAAAAAGATAAAAGAAAAGGAATTTCAGAAGCACAACCGTTTGCAGGAGTAAAATATTACTCTTGTCATTAAACAGCTGGATTATTAAATTGGAAGATGTCAGAAAAACGCAGAGTTTTGATGATCTGTTTAGGTAATGAGCTTTAAAAATTGATAACGAATGGACGTCTCGAATATAAATCAACTGTAGACTTAATAATTGTTTTACGAATTTAAACTCTCGTACGTGTTCAGGAAATATTTGTCGATCGCCAATAGCAGAAGCAGTGTTTGCGGATTATATATCAAAAAATAATTTGACAGACACTTGGGAAGTGGATAGTGCAGCATTGATTGGATATCACACCGGCAAATCTCCTGATCATCGAGCCATGTCCACGTTGAGGGACAGTGGAATAACAAATTATTCTCATCGTGCTAGGCCGGTAAGTCTCATTTCGAAGCATCCAACAATAAATGGAATACTCAACAAGTTACAATGGAAGAACTCCCGGGAATTCATACATTTCAATTATTCAGATAACAGAGGATGACTTTAACAAGTTTGATTGGATCTTTGGAATGGACCGTCAGAACATCACTGCACTTGAAGAGATGCAGCCTGTTGGGAGCAAAGCTAAGATTGAACTACTCGGCTATTACGATCCCAAAGGAGAGACGCTCATCAGAGATCCATATTATGTGATTACCTCGTTCATTCCATAAATGATGGGCTATATCAATACCTAATTATCATTTTTTCAATTTTCCAGGACAGCCATAGTGATGGATTCCTCAAAGCTTATCAGCAATGTGTGAGAAGCGTTGAAGCATTCCTCCAAAACCATAAAAATTAATGGTAAAATTCTGAAATCCAACAATGTTAATAATAATTCATTACCACGAGCATAAGCTGTAAATAAATTCTAATATTTTGATTCTGAAAAGTGCATTTAGTGGCGCCACGTGTGATTTAATTATTGCACTTTACGTTGCAATATTCTAATCAGAATTCTGAGATTAAACATCCCATCCTAGATTCAAATCGTGGAGAAGAATTTCTGTCCTAAATAAATAAAAAGGAAAATAAATAGTTCGTTGATTAAGTAACGAAAACAGAAACAAATATGTCTGATCAGACAAAAGTATTAATGGTCTGTTTGGGTGAGTCGAATTTTTCTAGACGCTGGAAAAATATGGGATATTGGGTGTACTTTTTTCTTTTGGTGTAATATACCTGAATTCTATCCAATTAATGACAAAATAATGTTATAGTTCCTGGTAAATCAGTGGATTTTCTGAGCAAACCATTTTTCTTGCGGATGAATTATAAATTGTCTTACACGTAGTACTTTGACTAAGCATCGGTATTATACAGGGAACACTTGCAGATCTCCAATGGCAGAAGCTATTTTCATCAATTATATAACAAAAATGAATCTTCCGAGCCGTTGGCGTGTCGACAGTGCTGCGTTGAGGGATTATCACGTAAATAATGCGCCAGATTTTCGAGCACAAACAACTTTGAAATTTAACGGAATAACCAATTATTCACATCTTGCTAGAACAGTGCGTCGGCTATATTCCTATCCTTTTTTTGTTATCTAGGACTTATCCTCCGTATGTGTTTAATGGGTACTAATAAGTGATCTATAATTACCAGATAACTATCAACGATTTCCACAATTTCGACTGGATCTTGGGCATGGATGATTTTAATATACGCGAGTTGAACAGAATCAAGCCCCAGGACTGCAAAGCACATATTGAATTACTGGGAAAATACCATCCAGAGGGAGAAACTATAATCAGAGATCCATTTTGTGTTGGTTACGCTTTACGTATTATTAATTATCGATTTACAAATATCCGTGCAATTACTCTATTTCATATCTTACTCAGGATCAAGACTGCACTGGATTTTTCCAAGCGTATGACCAATGTGCGCGAAGTGTCCAAGGATTTTTGGAAACTCATCAGTGATTTTATTTTGTATAAAAAATATAAGATATAATGATATTGTGTAGCAATCGCCGCGCACAAAAATATTTCATTTTCACAAAAATAGCGAACATTTTATAAATGAAAACTGTCGTCTATTGATTATTTAACTTGATGGCCAGCAACAAATACTTGTGATATGTTTCTATCGTCCCCAGAGTAGATAAACCTCTGAAGTTGCTCTTCGATAGTCCATTCAGATAAATTGTTGAGTGGACCATTGGGTTTGTTCGTGTCAATAATAAGAGCGTCAAATTGCTTCCCAGGTTCAAAGCTGCCTACCTGGTCCTCGATTGCCAGTGCTGAATTTGAAATAAAAATAATTTCAGTTATTTCACTTCCCCACCACATCCGTGATGTCTGATAAAAGGAATTTCATTTTTTTCCATTTTGTTTTTCTAGTGGAACCCCAACAAAACTGATTAAATTGTCGACTAAACGTTTTTTATATTTCCGATATAATTAAAGTTATCTCATATTACTTCTCAGCTAATAGATTCAATCAATTTGAGAAATTAAGTCTCACCCTTAGCTCCACCTAATGTAGCGAGGTAAAAAACGTCGATGTAGTTCAAAGGTTCATATCCTTTCTTAAAGAATGCAAGATGAGTCGAAACTTGCAGAGCAGATCTCATCACGTCAAGGATAGAAACACTATGACCCCCAGCTACATCTGTACCCAGTCCAACATTTATTCCCTTCGATTTCAGTCGTTTAACATCACAGAGACCACTACGCAAACATGTGTTTGATGTTGGACAATGGATAATAGAGGTTTTTCGATTTTTCAATATTTCCAGCTCTGAGTCTTCCAAATGCACTCCGTGAGCCAGCACCGTCTAGAGATGTAGACAAATATTCGTTGATTTTTCAGATAATGTTTTATTACTTTTTCCATTACCTTCTTTGTCAGCAGTCCGGCTTCTTCATACACACTGACGTAGGTTGAACATTCTGGATACATCTTCTTGCATATTTCAATTTCTGCCAGATTTTCAGACACGTGTGTCTATAATAGAATGATTAATTAATCGTTTTAATTGACCTGACGTTTAATCTCAGTTATTTCACCTGAATAAGGAGATTTTTATCCTCCGCCAATTTAGCAAGTCCTTTCATTAGATCCATGTCACAACTGAGAGCGAATCTCGGAGTTACTACCGGCTTTATTAATGGATTCTGATGGAAATAGCTTTCAATTAGTCATTTTTTTATACGTCTAAATTAAGTTCGTCAAATTGAAATTCCCTGATGAAATCAATTATCATTTCTTACAAAATGAGATTCCATAAGGAGATTTCGATTCAGTAGATAATATGATTTTGAATTTCAAGATTTTTATATCATAGGAGTACTGATTCGTAAATGAATGTTCAGTCTGAAAAATAACTCATAACTTAACGCAAATTTTTCAATGATTTCCTTCTCTACGTTTCCCTCTGTTTTTACTTCATTGAATGAAAGAAAAAATAGTGACATCATCAAGTTTATACTCTTCGTCAATTGTCGTCCTAGGCAACAGGAACAGGGTTGGAAGGAAATTGTCGCAGAAATCAATTACTAACATCAATATTTGAGATATCATTGATGAACTCTGTTGTTGCTTGGAGAGACTCTTCAGTAGTTTCGCAATATCCATCATCACGAGGTGCGTTCATATTGACTTTTCCAATGAAAGCTCTCTGTCCGTATTTTGATGCTTTCTCTGCCAAGATGACCGAGGATTTTCCATAGAGGGAAGCGAAATAGCAAGCGGTTGTTGTCCCGGCATTCAATGTTTGTTCCTGTAGTACAATTAATGGTCTTTAGCATCGACTCATACCCCCACAATCCCCAATATTGCTTATACTCACAACTACAGTATCGTAAACTCTATTAGCAAATTCGACATCCGAGTATTTCCTCTCCAAGGGAAATGTGTACTTCTCAAGCCATTCCATCAAACATCTGTCATACCCAATCCCAAGATTGGGTAGTTGAACTGCATGAATATGACAGTCGATGAATCCAGGAATAAGTAGCTGTCCATCTTGCAGATGAATTATTTTATCTGCCTTCACATCCAAACTTGATGAAGCCTCGCCTACACTCATGATCTGTTGAAGTATGTAAATTATTCAATCACTTCAGACTTCTACAAATTGATTTACCTTTCCATCTTTTATAAGAACTGCGGCTTCATCCAAAATTTCAATCATTCCCTCCTTCTTAGTATGCACAACAGGACCCACGAATAGCACAGTCTCCATCATTGATGATGAGCAAACGCCACTGCTCAAATCTTCTGAAAATGAAATTTACAATTTTTCGATGCATTACACTATGCAAAAATAAAAATAATTACTTGAAATCTGAACGTCTTCAACGGACAAAAATTTATTCCATGTCATCATATTGAAAATAACTTAAAATTTCGAGAACCCTGAAAATGCTGCTACGAGTTGGAACAATCAGTATACTCTAGTGATTAGACAAATTGTTGACTACAGAACTGTAACCGTGATAAATAACAGAGATAAGAAATGGATTTACTTACTTGCTTTTCTATTGCTTTAGCCCAAGGCTTTGTCGGGCTTCTCCAATCTCTCTTTTGCTCCAGCATGCTTAAATATTGATAAAAACACGTCATGTACGTCTCAGTGATGTCTCAATCATGGAGTAAGCACGTGATATAGCCCGCGAACATTCAGAGTATATGAAATCCATGGAGTCTTGTTAAATCAATAATTGTCTAATTTGTTGAATTGTCTCATTGTTGATATGTAGAACACTTCCTCTACAAAAAAGATAAGAGATAAGTAATAAATTACAAAAATTGCTCGATTAACCAGTTAAATCCATATTTAATAAATAGAAATGGCAACAGCTAGGGCAGACTCGATTGATCCAAAAAAAATGAGGAGAGGAATAGAGAAGGCACCTCCTCCTGACTGTAGGGACTACCTGGATATGGATACCGACGAGGAAGAGTTCGGACGTCAGGGTATTCCTCGTATACCAGTAAACCTAACTATAATCCTGATTGTAAATCTCACTATTGGACTTTATGTAGAAACCCCTGAGCCAGTTGAGGAGCTACCCCCAGAGCCAGAAAAACCGGTCTTCACGGATGACGAATTGGAAACACTTGTATGTGATATTTGCACAAGTAATTACGATAATCCATTCATCATGTCATCCTGCAGGTGAATTACGTGAAGGACTTGACGATCGTTCCATGTGGCATAGAATTT